AGGCAAATTGTCCACGTCAAATATCTTTGCATCACTCAGCTCTGGGACACCCCAAGGAGAAATGGTAGTGCCCTTATGTCCAGGAAGGCTTCCACATCCTCGGAAGTGGTGTTTGCCCATGGAGCTCAGCCCATAGGCCTGCTGTTATGAAGTACAGTCCCTTCCTGGTAATGATTAGTGGGACTCCAGGCTGTGTTACTGGAAAGGAGTGCACACAGCCTGCAGCCAGTCTTCATCTAAGCGTGCCAGTAAGTCCCGACATCGTCCCACATGTGCACGGGATTAGAAATGGCCATGCTGGGACACAGAAGGGGGGACAGCGAGGACCATGTTGTGTGTGCATGTGTTAAGGAGGCCCAAGGCAGGGGCTTCAATTACCCCCAGACACTGAGAAGGGCCCCAGTGACAGGATAAGGCTCCCCACTAGCACCCACCCAGTACTGACCTGGGGAAACCACCCTCTTCTCACTCTAGACTAGATTCAGTCCAAAGATGTCTGTTGCTTTAAGTATACATGCAAAACAGTATATGTACAAAGAAAATCGTGTGTTGAGCTGTTCAAAATGGGGCTGTGTGTTAGCTACATTTTGGCCACATGATGCTTGGTTTTGGATGTGTTCTGACAACCTGAGCCGACTGAGTAGGTAAGCAAACTGCTGACAGCCAGGGAACTCTGCAGGGGCTTGGACAGAGACTGCAGCAGCCAGGTGTGGTCTCAGAGACTGCAGAAGCCAGGTGCCATTGTCTGAGTGCCCCCCACGCTGCCCACCACGCAACAGGCAAGACTGAGTTCCTACAGTGAAAGAACAGGAAGAAAGGATGGCTGTTAGAAGCACCTCATTTCATCTAACGGATGATTCCATGAGAAAAGCAAGCTGTAAATCAAGCAATAGTTTAAGAAAATAAGAAAGCTTATTAAGAAAGAAAGGAAGTTCTTTATTTTAAACAGCTCTGTCATGAATCCTGCTGTGAAGTGAAGGCACATTTGGCACTGTGACTATTCACTCTCTAAGGTAACTGTTTTTGCACACTTTCTCAAAGGCAGGTATTTTTCATGCATGGTGTAAAGGCAGGAGGGAGACCCTCCCCCATCCCTCAATCGCTTCCCTGGGGTGCTGGTGGGGCCGTGTGGGAGTGGCTGGGTGGGAAGGTGTGGGGGAGATGCAAGCATGCAGCATTTCAAGGTCCAGAACCAATGGAACCCATGCACAGCTGGGTTGTCCCCACTGTGTCAACACCTAGAGAATGTGACCACCTCCCTATTTTATAACTCTAACTTATTCCCTCCCACTTATAATGAACAAATACCCTGATGTGGAAATTGTACAGATTACTTTTTGTCCAGCATTCTACCCAAAGATGCCTGGGGTTTGCTCTTGGAGGTGCTCACGCTTCAGTGTAAACCCGCAACTCCCGAAGCCATCGGAAGGCCACCATCCAGGAGGTGACCCTTCTGTGGCATGTGCACGAAGCTCTGTCATCACCCAGATGCACGCCTGTCAGCTGGTGCTGCCTGCTTGTCATTGGTCTCAAGCCAGCAAGCCCGGCCCCAAAAGGGCAGTGGGGAAGGGAAATACACTCTACATGCAGGTGAGCATCAGTGCTTCAGGGACTGTCCTGCGGGGCAGCCGGCACAAAGCAGAGAACACTGCACCTCGCAGAGCCTGCAGCCAGCCCGCCCCCTGCCTCTGCCACTGCTGCTCTGCCTCTGTGCTGCAGCCTCACGTCTGTAAAACAATCACCGGAGAACCTACTTTACGAGGTGGTTGTGAAGATTAAATGAACAAATGTATACAAAACACTTAGAACAGTGCCTACCATCCTGTAAGCATTATTTGTGTTTCAGCTCATCCTACCAACTATACATGTCACATTCACACGCAGGATGACCACACGATCAGCTAACCTGAGGAAATATGCTCTGTTCTTAAATATCTGTCTCTGTAAGTCAAGACAGTTTGGAGGCCAGGCCAATTAAGCAATCGGGAGTGGGCTTCAAGAGGAAGCTCTAAAAATCACTTTGTGAGTAATCCTATGGTCAGCTCAGTATAAATCTGGTGGCATACAAAATGACTCCAAACTTTTCATTGTCCTCAACCCCGGGTTGATTAAGACCCACACCTGATTTCTACATAGGAGGCAGGCAGGGATGGTAATGTGCTTAGAGGGCGAGGGAGGATCGTAAGACTTTCCATGCACACATTTGGCTTTCACTGAGGACTGCAGATTTATTGTAAACGTGAACATTGATAAAGATTTGGGGGTAGTTAAAGCATTCTGTGGTGCTTTTTGGCCCCCTCTGCCCCTGAGGTTGTCTTGGCCTGGCAGTTTGCATGTCTGGCTTCCTGGCTGGATGGCATGCTTGTGGAGAGCAGGCCTCACTCATCTCTGCACCCTGCCAGCCTCTGCCAGGGCCTTGTGCTCCTCAGGGGCAGAAGACCCAGCTGAATGACCAAATGCACAAAGGAATGAATGAATGAATGAATGAGGAAACCTCTCCTAAGATTGGCCTGTTCTGCTTTGCTCAGCAGATGTCAGGAGCCAAAATAAGTTCAGTTTAAAACCAAGAACAAAGCTTTGGGGTGAGGGAGGGAGCGAGGCACGGCAGGATTGAAAGCGGGACTTGGGAAGCTCCAGGGCAGCATGAGAAGCCAGAAAGCCAAACCGGAAAGAGATAAGGCCATCTTGATAGATGCTTTCCATGTAAAGGAGGTTCAAGTACACAGTGGATGAACTTTTGAGTTTCCTGTTTTTAAAACTTTCTTGTGATGAAGTTGGAACTGTACGTTGACCCGGCAGCAGGGAGGTTTGTGCCTGTCTGGAATAATCAGGCACATGTGGCCTAGACCACGTGCGAAAGCACACCAGAAAACTGGGAGCTAGAAACCCCAAAGTCTGCAGGCCAGGGCGGCCCGAGTCCTGGGTTCTGGTGCTGCAGGTTCTGCTGGGGAGCGGGGCAGCTTCCCCCTGGGGCCTATGGTCCCCCCCCCTCCACCAAGCTGCGCAGCAGGAAGCCACACCACGTGGTCACCGAAGTCCTTCCCCACCCCCCTGACATTCTACGACTCTGTCCCCATCACAGAGACAGCTTTAGCGTAAAAGTAGAGGAATTTTCCACAGTGAAAACATATCGGTTAATATGTATGTGAACTAAAGTAGTTTAAAATATATATGTATACATTTATTAGCAAAAAATTTTTTTACCATTTGGGCATAGCTGTTTGCCAATAATTAGTTTAAAAAGTCATTAATTATGATAATGGCAGTTATTAATAAGTATGATAACTGCTCATTAAAAAATTTAAAAGCAGAAAATTTCTTAACCCTGCTGCTCAGTTACAATATTTTGAGTTGTGCTCACAGTTTATTACATGAGGACTTAAGTAGCAAATGCTGCTGAAACAGGTGTGTTCTGTTCTCTGTTAGGTATTATAAAGGCTCTGACTATGTGTTTTATTATAGAAAATTAACTTTTCTGCATCTTGGTTTCCTTATCTATAGAAGCTGAAAGAATGGTGACTTGGCATTTGTTCATGTCCAAGATGTGAAACATTACAGCCTGTGACCCTTCACACTTACTTTGCTTTTTCATCTGGGACAACTGCAGAATAGATGCATCTACTGACAATGCTCTAGGTGACCCTTCCTGAAACACAGTGGACCTCCTTTATCTATGCTGTTGCTTTCTGCACTTTTAGGTAGCTGTGATCCAGAAATATTAAATGGAAAATTTCAGAAATAAGCAATTCCTAAGTTTTAAATTGTGTGCCATGCTCAGCAGCATGATGAAATCTCACACCATCCCGCTGGGCTATGCCCCGCCCCACCCTGGATGTGAGTCATCCCTCTGTGCTGCAGCGTCTCCATGCTGCGTTCCCCCACCCCACCCCCCCACCTGCTAGTCACTCAGTAGCTGTCTTGGTGGGCTGGTCCACTGTCCCAGTATCACAGTGCCTATGCTCAAGGAGCCTCTATTTTACTTAATAATGCCTTATTTGCATAACTTCTATTACAGTATATTGTTGTAACTGTTCTATTTTATTATTAGTTATTGTTGTTAACCTCTTACTGTGCCTAATGCATAAATAAAACTTTATCATAGGTATGTATGTGTAAGAAAAAACACAGTATATACAGGGTTCCATATTATCCACAGTTTCAGGCATCCACTAGGGGTCTTAAAATGTATCACTCACCTGGATAAGGGGGGACTAATGTAAATGGTGAGTCCTCACCAGGGGCTATACTGCCCTCCCATGGGGCAATGGTCACAGGTGGACAGGGTATGGCTGTCACAACAACCAGAGGCCAGAGCCAACATCCTACAACATGTCCGGCATCCTGCCCCAAAGATCAGCAGCTGCCTGACAACCAGCCCCAGATGAGGGGTGAGGGAGCAGAGCTCGGAGATGGGAAACAAAGAGGGAGAGGCTTTGCAGTCAGAGCCTCACTTACCTACTTTTGTCCAGAGCAAAAGGAGGGCGCTTGTTGATCCAGAGAGGTGATTGCTCCTCTGGCCTGTTGCACATCACCTAAATCTGCTCCTGGTACCATTCTGCTTTGACATTTGCTCTGGCTTGCTGGTCAGTTTCCAGCCCCAAGCCCAAGATACAAAGAGGCAGGATTGCCAAACGGTTTGCATAATTCCTTTTCTGACCTACCTTTCTCCAAAAGTTGACATGGCCCTGTGGAGTGGGGTGGGCCCTCTATGCTCTTGCTTTACAGTTTTGGAAGAGATGACAAAATGCACATTTAGAAACAGCTGGCAAATATGGTGAAGGCACACATTTGTGCGCACACATGCACACATGAAATAACAAGGGAGCTTTCTGGCTGAAAAGGTGGTACAAATTTTTTTTTCTTTCAAATGTATAAACACCGAATATCCAGTGTCAAAGCAAGGCAAGGTTTTTTGGAATGGCAAGGGCAGCACATCATCACACACAGGGCATCATAACCTTTCACCCAGAGAACTGCAAAGCAAGCATGCATATACATACCCGACATGGGCGCTGTCACGGTACGGCAGCACTGAAAATATACTACAGAAGGATCTTCTGCCACTGATAAGGACTATTCTAAAAAATAGCAAAAGAACAAACAAACTAAATGCAAAACTTTAAATTAAAAAAAACCCCAGCAATTAAGCATTCATGGAATTCACAGCAGTATTTGCACACTCCCACCACCTCCTCTGACAGATGGTGCTCTGAGCTCCTTGCCAAATGCAACCTCAGCACAGCAGCACACGCTGTCTCTCCTTATCCAAATGTTAACATGCGAGACACTGGCAAGGGTCTCTGTTGAGTATACACGCATCCTTCCTCCGGTGAGATCTGCTGGCGGTGGGCTACACATGCGAGATGGAGAGACACAGATCTGGAGTCCCATGCACCCAGTGCCGAGTCAACACTACGCCACATTTAAACCACTGATTTCTGCTCTGCAGCACACAGTGCAAGAGCAGTGGTGCCAGAAAGCACTGAGTAGGAAAGACACTCAGATGCCATTATGATCATTAGGTTTTTTTTTAATATGCTGGCAGCGTGTTAGGTTCTGAGAATAAATCGAGGGAACAATTACATAATCAGTCCTAGCCTCCATTCCTGCTATAAAGATACCACTGGAAATGGTTCTACATGATGCTCTTATGCAATCAAAGGCCATTTAAAAAAACATTAAAAAAACTCTCAAAAGTACTTATCCTGGCATCTGAGAATAACATTTGCGAAAGAGAATTACTGATGGAAAAAAATGAAGAAACAAGTGGAAATTAAAAAACAGCATTCTTCAGTACAGTGGCAATGGGACAGTATGAGATATGAAGCTTACGGACTTTTGTGATCTTTCCTTCCTTTCAATAACTGTGATAATATGACTGGGGAAAAACAGCACTACTAATTGTATCAGGGTTTGGGGATTCTGACCTTGTTTTAAAACTGTGATGTTAAATTGCTTATCCACACAGCAGAAAGTCAGATTCCTTGTCTTAGCAAACGGGCCCTCTATTTTCTGGCTCTTTCTCCTCTCTGGTCTTAACACTCTCGGTGTTTCTTCCTGTGCCCTATGAACCATCATGCTAAAGTACTTGCACACCCCACCTTAAAATCCCCTGCTGCTTCGCACCTCTGTCCTTTGCATGCAATTTCTGTTGCCTATTGTGCCTACATGGTACAGTCAGTTAACTCCTATTTATGCCTCAAAGCCTAGTTCAGAAGTCACCTTCCCAGGAAGCATTCCCCCTTCACTGAGTTACTCATTCCCTGTTTTTGGGTGCTGCTTCCCGGCCTTATTTCCATTTCAGGAGAGCACTGATCACACGGCTGCTAATCATCTGCTGCTTTCCTCTTCTAGAGGACAGTCCAAGACTGAGCACGTGGAAGCCCCTCCATAAACACAGTCTGGGCAGCGCTGTGCTTCAGAGAAGCACCCGAGTACCCATCATGGGGGGACAGGACTGCGGCTGCCTGTTCATTCCACAGTGAGTCGAGTCCACAGTGGCTCACAGGACCGAAGCAACATTCCTGACTTCAAGTACCACTGTGGACACCTTTGTATGACTCAGGCAGCTTACTAGCTCTTCTGAGCCTCAGTTTCCTCATATAAAAGATAGAATAAAATTAGTAACTATGTCCCTGGAATGTTGCAAAGAGTAAATAAGAGGACAGGACAGCCTTTAGAATGCTGCAAATATGCATTCAATGGATAGGAACTACTGACTCTTTTCACTGGGGACTGTCTCCTTGGGTTGAGGCAAGTTTTACCAGCATAGTACTTAGACGGAGAACCTCTTCAGGCCTCTGTGCTACAACACACAGGTGTGCTCCGACGTGCTAGGCCGTGCTATAAAGGTGGCTGAAGGATGACACGCACGGCCTGTCTACAAACATGGAGCATGCACATGGAGGTGCCTCTCCCCTCTCAAGGGAGGCATTTCTCATCAGACACCGCAGACCAAAGCCCTGGTCACTTTTGCAAGGTCACCAGAGTGGGCCGCCAAAGCCTGAAGGCCAAGAGTTAAGTAAATTGTGAGCACGCTAGCCTGCCAAACACCAGCCTGGTTCCCTGGTCTCACTCATGGAAACCAGCAATGAGCTGACATTGCAATGCCCATGTCAAATTACTCCAGCAGACATAATAATAGCTAATACTTAGTAAGTAAGTGGAGCCAGATTCTAAATACTTGAACTAAGGAAACACAAGTAAGTGATGTGATGAAAGTGATGCACTAGCAGGCATGGCTGGCCGTGGACTTTATTACCCTTCTGTGTGCTGACGCTCTGCTCTTCTCTAAGACAGCAAAGTCTGCTCCTGTGGGTTGTACTGGGCACCCTGGACACCAGGAACTCTTCCATCACCCAGGTTTCTGAGGGTGGCTTTCCAGCCTTATCAGTGGGTCACCAGGCCGAGCATGGAGTGGGGACAGAGGGTGACTGATCACAGCAACAGCCATGACATCGGACCTGCCGAGGTGGCTCTGTACTCCCACTCTGCTCAGCCTGGGCCCCTTTCCAGATGGAAGGAAAGAGGTTCTTCACACCTACTCTCTCCCCCAAACCTTGCCATCCACCCAGGAGAAAAGCCTGGAACTCCTCATTCTTCCCCAAGTCACTCAACAACCACGTCTTCTGCAGGAATGTGTTGAACAAACTCATCTGGCTTAGTGTGCTGATTTTTTGTTACTTAGTGCTAATGTGTCCTTCCTTCCCACACACCAAACTTGTTTAGACATTTTAATAGAACAAGAAAATGAGAGACTATAAATGCCTGTGAGATGTAAGCATTCTTTCCAAAGTTTTAACCACAGTGTGCCCATTAGTAAATGAGCTGCATTGTTCTGCTAAATGACTGCTCGCACTGTGTGGTCCTTACCATTTAGGTCTAGGAGAGGTTGACAACATGAGTCTCATTCAGAAAAGCATGTTATTCTAATGTACAGGTCAAGTTTAGCATCTATGAATATGGAATGCTTCCCAGCAATGCTAGTGGGGTTGGTACTTCTCTGGTTGGCCATTCTCAAGCAGCTGGACAAGGGACGAGTCAGCAAGGAGCACCACATCTTTGGGCATTTTCCTTCCACTCTTGGGCCCTGCCATCCCATAGCCTCTCACTTTCTGCAAGGACCACAGAAGCAATTCAGAGCAGAGATGAGCCTAGCAGCCCCACAATGGGTCTGCAGCAATTCACACCACAAGGAGCTGGAAATAGCTAACGGAGCTGCCGAGAACACATCCTACGTTTTTCCTGAAGTAGCTCTGGAATCTGGGAGGGACGTCAGGCCTTAGCCAGAGAAGGCAAATATCAACATGTGGCAAGCTCGAGTCTTCTGCTTCTTACGGCTACAGCGGCAACTCTGAGCAGTGTGAATCTAAAGACCAACCACGGTGTCTAGAACCGGGAGGGTCCGTGTGAATTTGCAGCTTTGCTCTTTAATGAACATCAGGGACAAGCACAAGAAAATCACATTTGTTGGTCTCCTCCGAGCACTTGTGTATTTGTGAAAGAAGTAGATCAGATGCTAGCGAAGATCATGTGAGATGGCCAGACGCCATTTCCACTGGGCCTTGAGACTGACCACCTCCGTGTCTTCACTTCCAGCCACGGCAGCCACCATCTTTTATGCCTCCATGGCATGCCGCAGCCCACGCAGCTCTCCCCATCTGCGACAGTCAGGGATTCCTTGGAGTCAAGATGACCAGAAAGCAGGACATAAAATATTATAGCTTCAAAAGAAGAAGTAATTCCAGAGAGACGGGTCTTTAAAGGCATAAAGATCACATCTCCATACACAAGAATCTGTCAGCAGGAAAAAGAAAAGTGAAAGAAAAGGCTCCCAGTACTGCCGTCCACAGGGACAGGGCTCCCTCTGGGTCCACAGTGTTTTCCAAACCCTTTCAGGCAGCACTGAGCGTGTTCTGCAGCTGGAACACCGGCCAGCTTTCTTCTTCACCAGCCCAGCCTCATTTCCGTGTTTCTGGTGTGAGGGAACTTGCAGCTTCAGGCCACAAGGCTGGCGCTCTGCCGACAAGATGCCAGAGTGCTCGGAACAGCCAGGAAGGGCATGAGGGTCCCCACAGTTGACAGAGCACCACAGACCACTTTCACTGAATCTGGTTCCAACCCCTCAGCCCAGTGCTGACTGTGTCTGAGCAGACAGCATCCAGCGCCATCCAGGACTCGTGCTCGCTCTTACACCAAAAACTGGCGTCTTGTTCTGTTTCCAAAACCCTGAGGAGCCTCTCTTGGCTGTGAGAGGGTTCGAGCTCTTCCAGGTGGAATATTCCATTAGACCAGGAATATTCTCTTAAGGACATGAAAACAAGCAACCAACTTCAAAGTCAGAACACACGAAACCACATTCACAACGATGGTAGTTGAGTGTAACGACGTGTGGACATGGCCCAGGGGTGTCTGGGGCAGGGAGTGGCGGTGCACATTAGGTACTGAGCGTGCAATTAGAAATGCACTCTCTGATTCTGTAATTCATCCCCTATGGGCCCAGGAAGCAGGAAAGAACACACTTAAAAATACTGGTGTCGTGGGCTGAACTGTGTCCCCTAAAAAGACATGTTGAAGTCCTAACCTCCCGCACCTGTCAGTGTGGCTTTATTTGGAAAGTGAGTATTTGTAGATGTAATCAAGTTAGGATGAGGTCATACCAGGGTAGGGTGACTGTACGTATCAAGGGAGCGATGTGGAGAAGCCCAGGCACACACAGAGGGAGGAAGGCCATGGGATGAGGGAGGCAGGGGCTGGAGTGATGTGCACAACAAGCAAGGATGTCAGCGACTATCGGCAGCCACCAGACACTGGAAGTGGCCAGAAATGATCCTCCTTTAGAGTTTTCAGAGGCTGTGTGACCCTGAAGACGCTTTGATTTCTGACTTCGGGACTCCGGAACTATGAGAGGGCACATTTTGTTGTGGTAAGCCACCCAGTCTGCGGTACTTTGTCGGGCAGCCCTAGGAAGCAAACACAGCTGGCACGTCGTCACTCCTTCGCAGAGTTGCTCAGTCTCACACATTGCCTGTTTGGCAGGTGCTCTGTGCTCTTGCACTGCACCACTGGTGCTCAGAGA